CATTCAGACTGTTTTATTTAAAACACACTCATATAAACAGTGTTGGGCACGTTACTTTGAAAAAGTAATTAGTTATAGTTACTAGCTACTTCTCCCAAAAAGTAACTGAGTTAGTAACTGAGTTACTCCACAATAAAAGTAACTAGTTAGTAGTCAAAGTAACTATTGCGTTACTTTTGCGAGTGTATGAAATTAATAACTGGGGATGTCTAATTCTGAAATCCTGTGTTTGGGTTGTTATAGATAATGCAACATGTAGCTATATCTATCTATCTATTCCATCCATCCATCCATCCATCCATCCATCCATCCATCCATCCATATTTCTCCCTTTCTCCATATAGGCTAATGATCGTTCACGCTCTTCGTAGTTCCCCCGTGGCGCGAGCACAGGGCGGCTGTTACGCGCCTTTAGCGAGCATGCACGTTTCCTGTCGCCTGCGCAATGAATCGACCGCCACACTGTGCGGAGATGTATGGCAAGCCAAGAAGGCCACTTTTCGCATTGAATTATCGCGTTAAGATTGAAATTAACCCGCAAAAAACGCGCGTTCTCCCGAGATTTCACCGCTTTTGACGCCGTCTTTAACCAACAAGCGCCGCCTTATATGCGCGTCATGATAGTACCGCAAGACGCACGTTAAAAAAACGTGCGTTGTGTCGGTATGTATGGAAGGCCGACTGGCGCAAACAACACATGGTTAACGCGTTGTTTGAGCGTTGTTTACGCACTCTCAACGTGTTAACTACGTGTGGCCGATTAAAAGGTGAAGACAACGCGTAAACAAAGTGCAAACAACGCGTTAATCACGTGTTGTTTGCACGTTAAAATGTGCGTGTTTTTAAACCAGTCGGCCTTCCATATCACGACAAGCGCACGAGTCCTATCATGAAAAAAGGTTAATTGTGCGACCTGAGTAACGTGCAGTAACGGGGTGTCGGCAACTGTAACTGCGTTATAGTTACAGTAAGAGTAATAATTTTGATTACTCGTTACTAAAAAAGGTAGCGGCGTTAGTAACGCCGTTACTCCCATCACTGCATATAAACCACTCTCCATGAATATTTTAAACATGTTAAGTGTGCAGATTCAATAACCAGAGGCCTCCCCAATGTAAGTTCATGCTCATCTGACCTCTTGGCTTGTTCTTTATACTTATGGACCTTTGGTTCTTATGTCATTTCAGGCTAGTCTGATCTGGTCTCAAAAGTACATAGAAACTAGTCAATAAAGTTATATAGGTTTTTTTTAATCAAATTTATTTAAATATTTTTGAATAAATGTAAAAAAAAGCTGTTGCAAATGTCTGTTTTCAACTATAAACAGCGGCGGCTGGTGGAGTTTCTTCCAGGGGGGGTATAAATACAAAATAGACGTATACCAAAAACCAATCCAACGTCTACTAAGTTATTAAACCAGTATATGAGTGTCATCAACAAAAAACATTATAAAAACACTTTATAAAAACGAAACATAATTCTATGTACAGGTTTGCTTTTTGTACATAAATTCTGCCCTTCTGAAGCTTTGTGAAGGTAAATCTTTGCCTGGTCCAATATTGTTTATTTATATAAACAATAGTCATACGTGCATATAGGCCTACGCTTTTATTCATCCTCTGCACTGCACATATTTATTTATCCACCTTACTTTTATCTTTTTAATACATTTTATGTGTTTTTTTATGTGAAGTGTGTGTGAAAGGTGTACTGTTACTGCACAAAAATTGCCCATGCTGGGACAAATAAAAGCTGCTGAACTGAACTGAGATTGTTCATGCTTGTTTGCCTTTTCTAAAAAGTGCTTTAAATCAGTCCTGCTTGTTTTTATCTATGCTGGATCAGATCCTGGTGTTTGAAAAAGGAGGCAGGTAAAGCAGAATAAAGCCTCAGCCTCGCTACAGGCAGTTAGCCAAGCCTTAAAGCTAAACCAGGTCCTGGGAAAAGACTGAGTGAACCGTCTGCATCTGTCTTTGGACTGCTGATTAAATATGATATTCTGCTGATCAGATCCAAATGTTTTCACCTCCCGCTTCTCTTGGTCAGTTTGCTTTAAGGGACTTTCACTTCTGCGACTCAACCTATCAATCAGCCAACCACGACAATGACGACAGTTCCTGTCACGTCAGAGCTCCCCTATTTGCTGAGTTCAAATTCAGCAGCTGTGTCCAGATTTGTCGCTTGATTACGTCATAGCGGATTGCAAGACTCCTTGTTATGCAGCAGCAAACGCATCCTTCTTTTTGCCCGCTTTGAAGGACGGGTCTGGTGTATCCTACGTAGCCTTGGGTTTTCCGTGATTCATTGCCAAGTCCAAGCAAGCTGGCTGCTTCGTGCAGTTCACCAGATCATGCAGTAAAATTGTTTCAAAGTTTTTTATCTAAGGAAAATCAGTTGATTGCATTGACTCGAAGGCAATCGCTCACATTAAGCATGCTTGTAGCGACAGTGGAGAGGAAAAACTCCCTTTTAACAGGAAGAAACCTCCAGCAGAACCAGGCTCAGTGTGAGCGGCCATCTGCTGAGGCCGACTGGGGTTCAAGGAGACAGAAGCAGACATAGGTGCACCAGTCCACCAGCTGCTCCACCTCCTCTCTGTAGTCCACCATCGTGGTGTCGTCTGCAAACTTCACAATGTGATTGGGGATGAACCTGGGGATGCAGTCCTGTGTCGGAGTGAACAGCAGGGGGCTCAGGACGCAGCCCTGAGGGGAGCCTTTGCTTACGGCGGGGGTCATAGGTTGCTGCAGCTTTGAACCAGTCAGAGCATTCATTATTCTACCTAAACTCTACTATTTTAGATTATGGGTAGAAACAGATCCTGGTTTCAAACACTACAGATCCATGTCAGCAGATCTAGATTATTTATTTATTTATTTTTAACACTGGCTCTGAAGGCGACTCCGGATACTTCGTCTTGCCTTAGCGCTTGGCTCTCCATCTGTGGTGTACGGTTGTATTGGAGTGAAATGGAGATGTGCCCCCACTTGTTCTTCACGCCACACTGTGCCATCTTTTGCGGTCTCTGACGGCTCACTCCTCAAACAACCTCTCTTTTTTGGTAGAGGGTAGAGGTGCAAAGTCTCCCAGAACTACGGAAGAGGATTAGGGCCACTGAATAAAAAAAAAGTTAACTGATTTTTAACTTTTATTTCAGTTAAGTATGGGAAAAATTCAGAATTCTGACTTTAATCTCAGAATTCTTACTGAATTCTGAGAACAAAAAAGTCAGAATTCTGAGAAAAAAGTCAGAATTCTGAGATTAAAGTCAGAATTCTGACTTTTTTCCCATACTAAACTGAAATAAAATTTAAAAAATCTGTTAAATTTTTTTTTTTTTTCAGTGGCCGTAATCCTCTTCCGTACAGATCTCTTTTGCTTACACTTTTTGCATGATTTTTTTGAGGTGGATCAACACAATTAATTTAAAAACCACTTCACCTCAAGCAGCTGCTTTGTGGGATTTTTCTCAGTGCTTGTGGGACATGCAGTAAAATAAACCTTTTGCTCTTTAAGAACAATAATTGTTACATATCAAATAAAAATAAATCATGTAAGATTACCTAAATATTTTATGAATACCTGTTAAAATATCTGAATCTGTTGTGCTTAAGAACAATTACACTAATTTAATAATTTAAAAAGAGACTGTTGATATTCAGATGAATTTCACATTGAGTAATGATTAGTTCAGAAATGTGTTTTTCCTTAATTATATTATAAATAGCTTGCAAAATACAATTTTTTAGTTTTTAGTATTTTTATGGAAGACTAATTGAAAAATTATATCCTCACCTCAGTATTAGTCCAAGACGTCACAGCTAAATAAACTGGCTGTTTCCAGATAAGTTATGGGGAGATAGTTGAGTGGAAGGAAAGTGTGGTAAAAAAAGATGCATACATGAATTTCTTAATTTTCAAAACACAATATGTTTCTAAATACACTAAATTTCAACTTATAGAGACCTGATGTATGGTAGCTTCCTCTGGTAAAGAGTGGACTGATTGGAATCCAGCTGGAACTGGTTTTAGATGTAAATTTAGCCTTTTTGCTCTTGTACAGCGTTGGAAAAACGATACTTATGATACAAATGTGAGGCAAAAAGAACAGAGATTTACACAAATGTCTTAAATACTTTATACAAAACGTTTAACCGGAAAGCTTACATGGTGAGACAAATATCGATAGAAGAGAGATTCCAAAGAGAAACGCTGTGCTTAATGAGTACTGACTGATCTTATGCCTCAAAAGTTAGAAATTAATATGCAATAATTACAAAAACAAAACGAGTGAACAGTTGAATTGGCACAAGGAAAGTGTGTTCCACAAGTAAAACATTTGTTTTCATTCACCAAAAACATTGAATCCTTCAGATAGAAGAAAGAAGAGGCTGAATCCGTTATTTTAAGGAAGAAGAGACAGTTTTTTTCCATCAAAAGGCTGCTGCACTGGAAAAAAACAAAATCTAGGTAAGTAATTTCTTCTTAAAATTAGTGCATTTGTTCTTAAATTGAGGAGATAAAAAAGACATTTTGCCAATGGAACAAGACCATTTACATTTAAAATAAGAAAATACAATTGCATTGTCTTATTTCAAGTGCATATTATCTAATTATCTTATTTAAAGAGTAAAAATACTCATTCCATTGGCAAATCATCTTATTTATCTACTCAAATTAAGGGTAAATACACTTAATTTAAGACATTTTTACTCATTTTTAGATTGTTTTTGCAGTGTGTCACTTCAAGAAGCAGAAGCAGAAAAATCACTTTGAAACATAAAAGGAGCATTTAAGACTAAATAAATAAAACGGGAAATGAGACCCAAACGGACAGATGTCCACAAAAACCCAGATTACATCCAATTACTGGAATAAAAAATACAAAACATTCAGGAAATTCAACTAATTTGACATCAATCTGGGGAAATTAATTTAAGATAATTAAGAATAAACGTTAAATATTAAATAAAAAATATTTTTTTTTTTTTTTTATTAAGGCAATTAAGAGAGAAATAAATGGGCAGGGGGGTGAAATGTAAACTATATAGTATTTTTAAACAGATGAATGTAAATAACTTTATTCAGGTCTGGTTGTGCAATTTAATCTGTAACAAAACTGCAGCTTTTTCCCCACAGCCGCTGTGCAAACGGGGTCCAAACATGACAGGAAAAAAGTAAAAAAAAACAAATCATTTCCCAGCAGAAATCAAAGTCTTCTAAAAGCAAATAAATAGATATAAAAAATAAATAAAATGGCGGCAGTGTAAAACAGGAAACATGAGGCCACGGGGCCTGAAGCAAAAATGTCCAAACAGGACGAAGACAGATTTAATCCAAGGCACACATTTAGCCGCTCAGACTGTCATAATCTGTTTTAGTCTGCTAAAATAAGCGAAATGATTGATTTGGATATAAAACCTTCAGCTTTCTGTCATTAAAAACAGGGATTTTCTTTCTGTTTTCAGCCAGAGGAGCTGCAGAAAGATCAACATTCACAGCTTTCAGAGCGAAAGGCTTGAACCTCAGGGAGGGTGGGGTGGGGGGGTTATTGCACAAGAACACTTGGGGTGGATGGGGTGTCATTTGGCCCTGTGACGTGCTGCGGCCCATCAGCTGATGAAGACGAGGGTTAGGAGGTGAAGAACACTCTCCTCATCTTCCCTCCTCCGTCGACCGCGTCTCCGACTTGAGCCGAACGAACTCCTTCGCCACGTCGTCGTTGGAGCGCTGGGAGAGGATCCGCATGGCGGTGAGGCCCGTGTCGTCCATGTAGATGCGCTGCCCCAGGGGGCACCAGCAGGCACAGTTTCCCTTCTCCATGATGTCCCTCAGCTGAACCACGACCAGGCCCACCACGCTGTCCGCGCGGCCGAAGCAGTAGTCTTTGACGCAGGCTTGAACCTCGTAGCACTCGAAGCCGTCCTGGTTCCCCAGAACGCTGCGGAGGAAGAACAGAAGCAAAAGGTTTAAGAGTTTATGGCTGTTCAAAAAATAAATAAATTAAATCCCTCGCGCTGTTTATTTTATGGAGTAGGGCTGAAACTAGGGCTGCAACTAACGATTATTTTAAAAATCAAGGAATCGGCCGATTATTTTTTCGATGAATCGATGAATCGGACAAAAAATATTTTTTATATTAACCTCTTTATTCCAAAATAAACATTTTAGACAGAACAAACAAGCACAGGTTGCTCATTAACTGTACTGGTGCAATATGAAAAATAAATGTTCGTGTTAAAACTACGCAAACTTACATGAGAAATGTAGCTGTACATCCAGAAAATATAGGGTACTTTGTTTCATAAAGCGCAAAAAAAGACATTTTTGTTTTTAAAAGCCCCTAAGGGGTTCAAACAATAGGCCCCCCCATTTCAACAAATTAGTTTTGTTTTTTTACTAGAAGAGTTCTGCCTTTTAAGACAGGAAAGTATAGCAGTTAAAGATGCTACTTGAGAAAATACTGAACCATAGAGATAAAAATAGCCCTGTGATTCAAATTATAAATTGTATTTGGAATAAAAATGAGAGAACTAGGGATGCTAAAAAACACATCCTCCAAAGACAGATATTTACATGGGAATGTGGCAGATAATTAATTGACATATTACTGATCTTGCTGGATTTTATTCTGCTTTACTTCCATAAATTGCAGGATCTTCTTTACTTTATCTTTGCCAGAAGATTTAAACTTTAAAAGCCTTGCCCTCATAATTTGCAAGTAAATTTTTTTTAAAAAGGCTGTTATTTTTTAGATTAATCTTTTAATAATCTCATAACCAAAAGTTCTTTAAAGAAGTCTTTTTATGACATTAAACCAGGTGAAACTTCAACTTTTCCAATTGAGGAGTTCTGGATAGAGAATATTGACAGATGAAAAGTTTTTTTCCTTCTTAAAGTGATAAGGAAATGGCTGTTTCAACCGTTGCATTTCCAAAATTACACGACTGAATAAAGTGAATGTGATTGGTCGTTTAATAAGAGGGTGGGATTGTTGAGGTGGAAGGATCGTAAGCAAGTTTGTTTGTGGCCGGTTTGTCGGAAGCATCTTGCTAACCAGTTAGCAACTTAGTGCTAGTAGGTACCCAATGGGAAATTCCATTGGGACCAAGTAGCACTAAATTGGTTACTTAGAAACGACACTGTCAAGGAACGCTATGGACAGAGGAAACATGCAAGAGAGGGAGAGTTTAGTGTCGGAGGTTGTGGATGAGTCTCCTCCGTCATCAGTTTTTTATTTAGAGGAGGAAAGCGGGGACGAAGATGTTGTGGAAGAGGACGCCAGGGCGGCAGAAGCTTGGTTTGGTGTAGAAGGCTTCCAGCCGTACATGTTTGAGCCCTTGCCTCGTAACGCTGCCAGTTCTGTTAGCTCTACGCCTGCTGAAGACACAGACGTCCATCCCCGTGAACACTGGGACGGAACTCAATGGGAAAGGAAAGGATTCTTATTTTAACCGCTGCGTATATTAGCTACGATATATGAATCAAGATGCTATGACCGAAAAAATTTGATTGACAGATGACCGTTGATATACGATTGGCTGAATTTAGGTGTTCAGGCTGACGTATGACTAACTGGCCTGAATAAAATAATGGAAAAAAAAAACCCACAGAATGTTTTTTTTTTAAACAGAAATTTTCTAAATTTTGGGACAATATCGTCTGATAAAGAGTACATTTATATACATGTTTAAACCAGAATGATTTGACATTTAAATATGATTTCCCTACAACTTCAAATGCAAAATGTTTACATATTTTTTTTTTACAATTTTGATATAATTACTGCTCTAAGTGGTTCGCTCTTTCAGTTAAAGGCATATTTTAGAGTCTTTATACTCCAGCTATTGATTAATAGATTACTAAATTAGTTGATTATTTCAGTGATCGATTAATCCGATAAATTATTTTTAAGTCCTAATATGGAGTGAATTTTATTCCATTATTGTTGAAAGAAAAAAAAAAAACATGTTTTGCAAATTGAAATGTGAAAAAAAAAGAATCCAGAAATGACATATACCTTTTAAATATATTCTAATTTGCATAAATATTGTTTTCTATTTTTTTTTTTTCAGATTAAGTTTTACAAATTGTTTTCAAAGTGTTTTTTTTCCAAATCACATTCTTTACATCTCTGTGGGTGAACTTTCCTCTGTGTTGACAAGCAGACATTTGCTAAAAGTTTTATATTTTGCATTTCTCTGCTCAGAGAGTCGCTGTAGACGAAGATAAAAACATGTTTGGTTTTAAACTTACAAGTGGAAGGTTTCGTTGTATTTGGGAGACCAGCTGTTGTTCTTGGATTTGGTCTGAAATTTGCGTTTCTTGTCGCTGAGATGAGGCCCGATCATGGTGACTTCCACGAAGGGTCTGAACATACCGGACGTCTGCCACTTCAAATCGCTGGCTCCTATGACTGCATGAGTACGAAACAAAACAAATATTAAAAAAATAAAACAGAAAAAACACGCTTTTTTTCTTTTATTTTTAATTAGTAAGAGAAGAAAACTTTCCAGCTGACCTTTCAGTGTAACTTTCCGCTCTCCGCTCTTTGGATGGGTGTAGAGCTCAATCTGCAGGGACACCTCCCCGATGGGTTTGTCCACGCCTGAGCCTGGATTAAAAAACAGCAACAGATATATGGACCTAGATAAAAACAGTCATCATACAGAGACATGCGACACCAATACGGGGAGGTGGGGGAGGTTCACCGACAATAGTTTCACCAAACAGAAACCAAATGTTTAAGGGAAGATAAAACGATGAGGGAGAGGTGGACTGACATTGATTTGATGGAGACCTACCCCTGCTGGGCTGCGTTTTCTCATTAGGAGTTAGCCTAATACCCTTCCCATTGTGCACTGGCACAGAGGCAGCACAGGAGACAAAAACAAGACAGCAACAGCATGTAAACAACCTGCAGCGCTGCTCCAGAACGTTGAGGAACAACGGAATAGAAAGGAGGAAACCGGAAACAGGAGCGCATGTGTTCTGCTGTAAGGCGGCGTTGGAGGCTACCTTGTGAATGCTGCGTGGTCACAAAGGTTTTGATGAGGGTGTCAGTGGTCTGGGTGTAGAGAGACAGAGCGTGGCGGAGAGAGGAAAGCTCGGCGCTCTTCTCCAGGAAGGCCTTCTTCAGCCCGTTCCCTCCGGCGTGGAAGTATTGCTGCAGAGAAAACCAAAGATTAGACGGCGGAAGAATGAATGTCTAGAGGAGCAACGAGTTCAGCTGAATCCAGAGCAGAATCCAAAATACCGTATTTTCACGACCATAAGGCGCACCGTACTAAAAGGCACAGTCTCAGTTATGTGTGCCATTACTGTATTTAACACACACATAAGGCGCACCGGATTACAGGGCGTGGGTTTTATATACCGGTACATGTCCTCTACTACGTTTAAATACCTCTACTGCGTATTTAAAAATAAAGCAGGAGCAAAACTGAGTATGATTGTGCTTTATTCATGTATTTATTACAAAGTATTAATCAAACCCATCAAAGTCATCATCCTCTGTTTCTGAATTAAACAGCTGCGCTAAATCAGACATGCCAATTTCCCCTTCTTCGCTGTCAGAGTCACTTTCCGTGCCGCGCGGCTCCTCGGAAATGATGCCGGCTTTTGCGAAAGCTTGAACAACAGAGCCAGCAGACACGTTAGTCCAAGCATCTACAATCCATCCGCAAACTGTGGCGTAACTTGCCTGGCGCTGCCTTCCACTTTTCGTGAAACTGTGGTCTCCATCGTTCATCCATCGCCTTACTTTGAACGGCTGGTTCACACCGATGTCGAGCGGTTGAAGTTCCTTTGTCAGACCTCCCGGGATAACAGCGAGCACAGCGTTCATTTGTTTCACCATGTTTTTCACATCGGCTGTGAGATGGGCACGCTTGGAGTCACAGATTAACAGCGATGGTGATGCGTGGAAAAAAACCACCTGGTCTCCTTACATTCACCTCCCTCAGCCACTCTTTCATCATCTCCTCGTCCATCCAGCCTTTTTCATTTGCCTTAATAACGACTCCAGCTGGAAAAGTCTCTTTAGGCAAAGTCTTTCTCTTAAAAATCACCATAGGCGGCAGTTTCTGTCCACACTTCCCCCTTAAACGTTCTCATGGCGGTCTCAACAACGTCCGCAGTAACAACACACATAGGGCGCGCCGCACATTTTGAGGGAAAAAAAAGATTTTTATATACGCTTTATAGTTGCGAAAATACGGTACTCAAAATGAGTTAAAATCTGAAGATTATAATTCAGTTTGATTTAAAGCGACATGAATAGTTGATATTTAAGCAACATTTCTGTGATTTTTATTTTCTGTTCATTTTTTATTTTCAGGCTACGTTCAAACTGCAGGCCTTAATGATCAATTTTTTTTTTTGTTGCTGTTCAAATTTCCAGATATACAGGTGCTGGTCATAAAATTAGAATATCATGAAAAAGTAGATTGATTTCAGTAATTCTATTTAAAAAGTGAAACTTGTATATTATATTCATACATTACATTCAAACTCATATATTTCAGATGTTTATTTTGTTTAATTTTGATGATTACAAATGACAACAAATGAAAATCTCAAATTCATCATATCAGAAAATTAGAATATTACTGAAGACCAATAAAAACAAAGGATTTATAGAAATGTTGGCCAACTGAAAAGTATGAACATGAAAAGTATGAGCATGTGCAGCACTCAGTATTTAGTTGGGCCTCCTTTGGCCTGTATTACTGCAGCAATGCGGCGTGGCATGGAGTCGATCAGTCTGTGGCACTGCTCAGGTGTTATGATAGCCCAGGTTGCTCTAATAGTGGCTTTTAGCTCTTCTGAATTGTTGGGTCTGGTGTATTGCATCTTCTTCTTCACAATACCCCATAGATTTTCTATGGGGTTAAGGTCAGGAGAGTTTGCTGGCCAATTAAGAACAGGGATACCATGGTCCTTCAACCAGGTACTGGTAGCTTTGGCACTGTGTGCAGGTGCCAAGTCCTGTTGGAAAATGAAATCTGCATCTCCAAAAAGTTGGTCAGCTGCAGGAAGCATGAAGTGCTCTAAAACTTCCTGGTATGTGGCTGCGTTGACCCTGGACCTCAGAAAACACAATGGACCAACACCAGCAGATGACATGGCACCCCAAACCATCACTGACTGTGGAAACTTTACACTGGACTTCAAGCAACGTGGATGAAGTGCCTCTCTTCTTTTCCTCCAGACTCTGGGACCTTGATTTCCAAAGGAAATGCAAAATTTACTTTCATCAGAGAACATGACTTTGGACCACTCACCAGCAGTCCAGTCCTGTTTCTCTTTAGCCCAGGCAAGACGCTTCTGACGCTGTCTGTGGTTCAAGAGTGGCTTGACACAAGGAATGCGACAGCAGAAACCCATGTCTTTCATACGTCTGTGTGTGGTGGTTCTTGAAGCACTCACTCCAGCTGCAGTCCACTCTTTGTGAATCTCCCCCACATTTTTGAATGGGTTTTGTTTCACAATCCTCTCCAGGGTGCGGTTATCTCTCTTGCTTGTACACTTTTTTCGACCACATCTTTTCCTTCCCTTCGCCTCTCTATTAATGTGCTTGGACACTGAGCTCTGTGAACAGCCAGCCTCTTTAGCGATGACCTTTTGTGTCTTGCCCTCCTTGTGCAAGGTGTCGATGGTCGTCTTTTGGACAACTGTCAAGTCAGCAGTCTTCCCCATGATTGTGTAGCCTATAGAACTAGACTGAAAGACCATTTAAAGGCTTTTGCAGGTGGTTTGAGTTAATTAGCTGATTAGAGTGTGGCACCAGGGGCCATCAATTTTGAACCTTTTCACAATATTCTAATTTTCTGATATGATGAATTTGAGATTTTCATTTGTTGTCATTTGTAATCATCAAAATTAAACAAAATAAACATCTGAAATATATGAGTTTGTATGTAATGTATGAATATAATATACAAGTTTCACTTTTTAAATGGAATTACTGAAATCAATCAACTTTTTCATGATATTCTAATTTTATGACCAGCACCTGTATGCGACTTGTATGTGATCTCCTGTGTGAACTGCATTCAAACAACTGACAGTAGAGGTCGCAATGACTTCATAAGCGAGCGTTCTCCGAGTTTACGAAAGTAAACATGGATGGTAGCGCTAGAGCGCATCTAGGGATCTTTCCCAAACTAATCTTTTCAAGATGGTTAACCATAAATACTGCTGTCTGCATCATCGTCCACCATGGTTGTTGTTTTTCGTCCCTCTTCTGTGTAGGAAGACACAGAATAGTGACGTTTATTGAGTAATAATGGCGTTCAGGTCGGATGAATGCAACCTGCCCTTTCAGATACAGGTTGCATTTGAAAAAAATCTAATTCATATCGGATTTAGGAGCACATGGCCAAGTGTTCTGGGTCACATTGGAAAAAAAAAACAGATCTATGTTGTTTAGACTGTCATGAAAAGATCAGATACAGGTTGCATATGGACAAAAAAAAAAAATCGGATCTGGGTGCAGTGTGAACGTAGCCTCAGTTTAAACTTTTCCAAACATTTATTTTTTTTATTCTGTTTTTTTTTTTTTTTTACATTTCAACTTTAAAGACTTTAAATTTAGTTTGAATTAATAAGAAATTATCTCTTTATTTGATTACTGATGCTGATTGTCATGGTAACACACCAAAACAGTGCAGGAAACTGAAAAGATTAGGAATCAGATAGAATTTCTAAAATGTCTATATTGTTTTCCTCTTTAAGCACCAAATATATATAAAAACACTTTTTAAAAGAAGAAATATAAAAAACTTCCTGTATGAGGGTCATTTATGTTTAACATTTTTTTTTATTTTAGCTCATTATTCCTCACTATTCAGCTTATTTAATGTATTTGATTTATTCCTTAGAGAAACAGAACAACAATTTAACACAAGAGGAGAACAATGAAGAAGTTATTTTATTGTTTGCTACCTTTAACTAAAATGGTTAAAACAGGCTCTGCAAGCTGTGGCTGTTAAGATGCTCTACAAAAACTCTTTATAGAGGTTAAAATATTTAAGAACTAAACAACAGTTTAGGATAACATCCAATTCCAGTCTCAGAAGCTTCTGATTTTCTGAAGAATATTTTAACCGAAATTTAAAAACAGAAATAAAAGAATCAGAATCTTGTCAGCTCTAGGGCTGCAACTAACGATTATTTTAAAAATCGATGAATCGGACGATTATTTTTTCGATTAATCGATGAATCGGACAAAAAATATTTTTTATATTGACCTCTTTATTCCAAAATAAACATTTTAGACAGAACAAACAAGCACACAAGTACAGGTTGCTCATTAACTGTACTGGTGCAATATGAAAAATAAATGTTTGTGTTAAAACTACGCAAACTTACATGAGAAATGTAGCTGTACATCCACAAAATATAGGGTACTTTGTTTCATAAAGCACAAAAAAAGACATTTTTGTTTTTAAAGCCCCTGAGGGGTTCAAACAATAGGCCCCCCCATTTCAACAAATGAGTTTTTTTAGACTAGAAGAGTTCTGCCTTTTAAGACAGGAAAGTATAGCAGTTAAAGTTGCTACTTGAGAAAATACTGAACCATAGAGATAAAAATAGCCCTGTGATTCAAATTATAAATTGTATTTGGAATAAAAATGAGAGAACTAGGGGTGCTAAAAAACACATCCTCCAAAGACAGATATTTACATGGGAATGTGGCATATAATTAATTGACATATTACTGATCTTGCTGGATTTTATTCTGCTTTACTTCCATAAATTGCAGGATCTTCTTTACTTTATCTTTGCCAGAAGATTTAAACTTTAAAAGCCTTGCCCTCATAATTTGCAAGTTAATTCATTTATAAAGTAAATGTAAACGCTGCTTAAGCTAATTCAAATGAAACTAGAAAAAGCTGTTTCGGAGAAACATCAAAGTGGGAATGCTTTTGCTGAATGAAAAAAGCTGAAATTACCTGCATACCATATGAAAATGTGATAGGAAGTCATCAGAAACTTCAAACTGCAGAAAACAATTGAATCATCTGAAGATTTTGTAGGGTAGAATCATTTGGCAGTAAAATGGCAGAAACAAACTCATCTTAAAAGCTGCACAGCCAAACCATACATGATATCAAAAAATGTCTTGAATGTGGGCACTAGAAGGGTCTTAATATAATGTCT